CCTTGTAGATGGTGCCTTATGCTCCTCAAAATCATAGGTTGCCTGCTGGAAAATTTCAGGGTCTGGATTATGACAATAATTGGTGCAAATGTCTTGAAAACATTTGCTGCTGCTTCTTCATCCAACTGTATTTCAGTTACGAATGTGACGTAGGCATGTTCTTTCTGGATTAGATCTCAAATGGTCATCACCTTTCCATTGGGTAACCTGATATTCATCCGCAGCACTTGAAGGCTTGAGAGTACTACATCTAAGCCAGCAGAGGAATCAAGTGTGGGAGACAGGGTAGAATAGAGAAGGTCCATAGATGTCTGACTTGACTTCCCTGCATTTTCCAACTGACTTAGCACAAATGGTCATAGCTGATGTAACTACGAAATTGGATAGCCAACTATGCCCATCTTTTCCTGTACTGAAGAGTCCAAAGTAACATGGATGGCTGTTTACTTCTATAAAGTCCCCCATCCTTGATAATGGAGCCTGTTTTAATTATAGTCCCAGACAGCTACTCTTCTTTCCTTTAATTCCATAATAATATTCAAAATCATTTCAGTATATATATCTTTGGGTTTTTTCCCTTGGAAAAGTTTGAGATGAATATTATTCCTGAGGGTTTGGATAATTAACTAGTATTTTCTTTTCATAAGGGATGGCAAACAGATGTTGGAGCACCTCCATCATTAAGACTGTTATCAATCTAATTTTGGACTTGCTTCTAGAAAGAAGTAATTTTCATTTCAAACTTGTAATGTGGCATATAAATATAACAGGTTTTATCTCTCCTGCTCTGTTGCCTCTTTGGCATTTGTTAAATCTTTCACAATATTTCAGTGTTGCAAGGAAAGAACTCTTAAGCAATTTTAAGATGTTAGAAAGTACCACTGTTTTCTGTCTGCTTAACACAGATACTAGAAAACAGCTTCTAGAATTAATGTTTGAGGCCATAAGCCCTAAAATAACTATAAAGAGCTTTTGTTCCTGAATTCAAACTAAAGCTTCAGGCATTTTCAATTTAAAGGGTTTTAAAAAGCATTTGATAGGAATGAATTGCATATTATATTTCAGTATCAACACAGACCATATAAGAGGAAAATGTGCTTGCAATTTGTAAAATGTCATGCCATTTACTAAAAGCAGTAATATTAACAGCAAAGCTGCAACCCAAACTGTGTTCTTCCAGTTGAACAAGAAAACATTCAAGATACTCATGCATATCTTACCCTTAGGTGAAACCATAGTAGTGCAATCCCAGACAATTCTAAGAAATATGTTCTGGGACTTTCTCCAGGTAAAAGGAATTGCTGCCACAGTTAACATTATCTGCCAGTGGTATGAGGGGATGGAATTGGGGGAAAAAAGAATCCACAATTCTGAAGTATGTGAGAGAATGTATATTGTTCAGATTGAAACATACAGTCCCAATATTCCTGGAGTAGCAGTGTTTTTATTTATTAGATTTATATCCCTCCTTTTCCTTTTCTTATTTTTTAAGAACTCAGTGTGGCTTACATCATTCTCCTGCTCTCAATCTTATCCCCAGAACAGCAACCTTGTGAGGTAGGTTGTGCTGAAAGTCAGTGACTGGCCCAAAGTCACTCAATTGGCTCCATGGCTGAATGGGGACTAGAACCCAAATATTTGGATATCAAATTAAAATTTATAACAGCCTAATGAACTTTGGCCTCTACAATATACCAAAGAATAATCAGTCTCTAATGATGAAGATTGTCTTACATAAACATACTACAGTTCCTCTATACTTCTCACTAGTCAGACCTCACCTAGAATATTGTGTCCAGTTCTGGGCACCAAGATTTAAGAAAGATGCAGGTAAATTTGAAAGGGTCCAGCTGAAGGCAACCAAAATGATGCAGGGTTTGGAAACACTGCCCTTGAGAAAAGAAGACTGAGGGGGCACATGATATCCCTCTATAAGTACCACAAAGAGGAAGGTCAAGATCTCTTCTTGCTGTTGCCAGAGTGTAGGACACAGAATAACCAATTCAAGTTGTGACAACCCAGATTCAGGCTGGACATCAGGAAAAGCTTCCTGACTGTCAGAGCAATACAACAGTGGAACCAGCTGCCTAGAGAGGTGGTGGGCTCTCCCACACTAGAAACATTCAGAAAGAAACTGGACAGCCATCTGAGTGGGATGGTATAGCGTGGTGTCCTGAAACAGCAGGGGGTTGGACTTGATGGCCTTCATGGCCCCTTCCAACTCTTCTATGATTCTATTGTTATTGTACATATTTTGAATAGCTAACATCTTATTTTTTTCCAAACCAATTCCAAAATATAACACATTTCATAAAAGTCCTCCACCAACAACATCCATATTCTTTCAAATATTATTGGGTTGGAACATGATAAATCTATTATCCCTGCTCCAAATCTACAGGCTTTCCCCCCAGAACATCATATCGCCACAGCTGTCCAGTATGCTTACAGTTTAGTCTCTTTTTTCACCTTTAACTTAAATTCATTAAAATGCAAAGAAACAAAGCACTATTTAATTTTTATGAAAACCTTCATGTGTGTTTGTTTGGGAGCCACTATGTACTGCCAGGAATAGAGCATTCAATAAAAGTACAATTCCAGCAGTGTGAAAGGCAGTATGTAAAACTAATTTAGTATCTAAACCCTCCAGTGACTGTTCAATTGTGTGGGAATGCTGAGATGTTGATGTATTAGTATGAGTTCACATTAGGAAACAGAGCTGAAAGCCTGCCTGACATTAGTTTCCCTAGAGCTTTGTCACATGCTAATTGCCAAAAGTTTCTTCCAAACTAGCTGCAACAAATTGCTTGGCCTTCTGCTTAATAAAAGACCAAAGAGGGAAAAGTGTTCCTTTGGTTTTTTTTCATGGCTCTTTTTGCTTTGCTATAAATAGTCAAAGACTCAAGTTACTGATAAGTAAAGGATGTTGCAGGAGCATTTAACCTACAGTGCTTGTGCTTCGTGATCCATCCATGCTGTGGAGTTTAGCAGAACTAAAATGGGGCACTCATGGTGGTCTGCGATATTGAACACTTTGCTCATTCCCTAACCCCCACCCCACAAAAGATACGGCCATTTGTGAGGTGATGACAGACAAAATAATCTGACTTTTCTTTTTACACCTTAATTCTAGCTAGCACCACATGGTTTCTTCTGTTCCTTACTTCCGTGTGCTCCTCTGGAATTTTGCTTCTTGGACATGAATATTTTAGTTGTGTGAATATTACTATTAGGGTACCTGGTCTTTTTCCCCTTCCACGCAAGCTGTGTTTTGTACAGCTTCAAGTAAAATATTTCTTAAAACATTCTTTTTAATGTTTAAATGTAATAACTGTTTAAACTTCTCTACATTCATTTATCCATCCTGTTTTGTGTTGTTTCTTACTGTTCACAAGCTGCCTTGATTTTCGTTCCTAGTAAAGGTGAGATACAAGTTTTAGGATCTATTATTTAGGTTCTCTGCTTGCTTTTAAATATGAGAAGCCATTTCTGACTAAGAAATCATTTAGAAGCTACTGCTCCAAGACACACAGATTAATTAGGTTGATCTGAAACCAGACCCTAAGCCCTGGGAGAACAATCCGATGGCTGCTAGGTAGTGTCAAGATGCTTGTAGGAGTGGTTGGATCCCCAGCTACAAGGTCAGAAAATTGCCTTGGCCACTTCTCTCTCCACCTCCACAGCCACTGTGGAAAGAACCACCTTGCCTGTGTCTCCAAGGTTATTATTAATTATATTATTATTTCTATATTATCCAATAACAAATGCTCTCTGCATGGTTCTCAACAGCAGAAAAAATGCAGTAAAATACCATGCGAAATAAAACAAAACATTATAAAATACCATTTTAAATATAGATTTTAATGCATGACACTAATTGACTCCCTCATCAGGACTCCTCACTTGGTCCTATACCCTCTGTCCACTGCACATACTCATACCATGAAGGAGGGACACCCCCCCTCCCCCAGCAGGCAACAGACTGATGCAATGCAAGAATTTCCTTCAGGCAGAGCCCTTGTCCAGCCACCAACTCAGAGAAGAAGACTGACCAGACAGTAAGGGCTGCAGGGAGGGGTTGGGCCAGGTGGGAAAATTGCCGGCAGGTTAGTAAAGCCAGCATTCTTGCCTTCCCTGAGAGAGCCCAGGTTTCTCTTGGGTGGCTGCAGGCTTCAGGTCGTTGTTAAGTCTGGTTTGGGCCAGCAGAGGTTGCCTTCAAGACCTTGGAAATGAGCTTTCATGGGGACGGGAGAAGACTGGTATCACCAAGATGCGACATATCTTGGCGGTGCCTGAGCCTCTTCCCCCTGACTACAGGATACCACACTTTAACAGCCAAAGTGGCTGTCTAAGTGTTTTGTGGGGCAGAACCACCATGGAAGTAAATTCACCTCCTCCTGGTGTGCATAGAATACCTGTAATCCTGGAGCAATTTAATTGGATTCCACTTCTAATGACTTATCCCTTGGCCCTATTCTAGTTCCCCCAAATTCTAGCACGCAGATGCCTTCTCTCTTTGCAAGCACATGCTGCAGTGTGGTGCAGATGAGCAGACTTGTAAATACAGGTGTAGATGTAGCTTGTTGATGCACCTTCAGTGCAAACTCTACTGTGCCTGAGAATTTGCATGGAGTATACACCCTTCATTATATTTAAAATCTATTTATTCTTTAGAGTCATCAACTGGAAAGTTTTTTCCCCTAATCCGCATGTTTACTCAAGACCCACAAAACAAAGCATGCATACACAAACGGGTTATCTAGAAATTCCAATTAGAAGATGTTAGGACTTACGTTGATCAGAGAATGTCATGTCATGTCAAAGGTGTGCATGTAACTTTTCCATAGCCTGTACTGTATTCTGTTTTAATGCAATACAATACAAACAATTGTATTAATACAAACAAAACCTGTTTATTTTCTGAGAAAGCAATGCATTAAAGTGACTGCTATGTATATTAAATCGGGGAAGTATTTATGTGTTTTTCTTGTTTTTAATAGGACACTCCTAGGACAATTTCAAACAGATATAAAAGGTAAGAGACCATTTTATCACTAAGTTACATATTTTAAAATAAAATACATACACCATACTTTATATATCCAGCAAACAAACATCCAACTGAGGGTATTTTCTGTTGTTTTAACTAGCACTCTTCTATTAACCAGCCTTTCCAAACCAGTTGGCCTCCAGCTGTTTCGGACTGCAATGCCCATCACTCCTAACCAGTATGATCATAGAGAATGTGTGTTGTAGTCTAAAACATCTAGATTGACTTCTTCCAGCCCTGGCAACCTTCAGATGTTTTATCAGCCCTCATTGTGGTCAGTAGATAACTTTGTAGTATAGCCCCTTCCACAGCTGACTGCTGCATCTTTCATAGATGTAGTTAAGTGCCTGTTCCTTCAGAAACTCTTCTGGGAATTTTGCAATTAAAAGAACCAACAGGTATGATTATCCTTTTGTTTCTCATGTTTTAAAATGCACAATTGTTAGGCTGGTTAAGGATGGAACAAGGCAAAATCAGAAGCTGACTGGCTATTCATACCTCATATCTTCTGACCGTTAAAGGTTAGAGGACACAAGGGTCAGGAAAAGCAGGGAGAAATTCTTGGACATGCCTCTCCAAGGAGACCAACTGGCAAGAACTCAGAAGGCCCAGAATTAGGTGAACTTGTAGCAGCCACTTAATAAAGAATCATATTCTGGGCCTATCTGTGAGAGAAGGAGAGAGGAAGGGAGGAGAAAATACTCTGTCCTTTATATTAAAGTTGAGGAGTAAGGAGATCCAACCTACCCTTCTTACTTTGTCCCACTTATCTCCTCGCATATGTTAACCCAGGCATTTTTCTCCCAGCTTCTCTTGATAACTGGACTTGAGTATGGCTGGGTGAAATATTCCGATACCTTTTTGAAAATGTAAATCCCATGCTATATATGTGAACATTAAAGAAAAAAATGTGGCCGTTCCTATTTCACTTAATAAACCCTGAAGGAGCAGTTGTTCACTGTGTGGGGTCCCTTTAAGAATATATATTGATTGCTTTTCAGATACAGAGTAATGCAAATAATATGAAAAATGAAGCCCTTCACAAACAGAAGGTGTAGAATCTTCTGTCTGAGTTTACAGTGCAGAGCCAGGATCTAGTTAGAATTAGAAGATAGAAAGGGGCAGGTGAAGGCACGTGGTTCTGTGACATCAATATTTCCTCCCCAAAGCCTAAAATCTCCCTCAAATGGTCTGAGAAGGGTGTCTGCTAGGCTCAAAGAAAGAATATAACTGGTAGCACTCAATGCAGTTGTATGTCAGGGAAACTCTTTCATGCAAAGAGGAGATGGTGGGGGTGGAGTGGAGGAGAACTGAGCTGAGGAATGACTACAGAGTTACTTCATAATTGCTCCCTCTAATATTAAAAATGGAACTGCAGCTCTTGAACTTCCTATCTGTCAGAGTCTTGGCCAATCTCCTGAATATGTGAGCAACTACATGGGGATCAGGTCACACATACCCAGTCCCACTGCCACCATCTCCGTATGCATCACTGTACCTTCTCCGTTCCTTAACTCTGACATGTTGCATGGCCAGGCCTGGAACAGAATTATACTCACATTCATTTGTACACAAGTAGATCCGTGCAAGCAGGAATCCTAGTAAATCAGGACTCCTGATGAGTTCCACTCTCATACCAGGAATCAAGGGGCTGAGCTAACACATGTAAATACATTGACTTTGGTACTGGTATACATAGTGCCATTGGCAGATACAGCTGCAGGGGTGGGTGACGAAGGCTTCAGAGTGAATTGAGACCTAATGGAAAGCATAAATAAGGTTATTACAGTCTCATAAGTGAGCTTATTACAAGGCTGCTGAGAATCTACACAATCAAAACAGCTGATGATGCATTTCCCACGTAATGACTTAGCCCTTCTTCTCAAACCATGAAATCATGACTGTAATGTATAAGGAAGTAGTGCGGTAGAATGCACTCTACCTGTTCCCCAGGATTCTCTTGAATTAATCCCTGCAAGTGGAAAAGATGAAGGATTGACACTTGGAATGAAGTAGTCACCTGCGAGAGAACAAACGAGAAGGGAAGAGAGGGACAGAAGTTAGAGTATTCATTAACTATTACCATTTTTAGTCTCTTCAGTTATCTATAAAAATAGTTTCATCAGTTTTCAGAGGTTGTGCAGCTAACTTTTCACTGTTTATTCAGTTTAATGGAATACATTGAAGCAGGTTGCGTAATTGTTTGCCATTTTTAATGTTTGGGTATTTATTTAATTTTGGGAACAAAAATATCTAGCAGATCTTCTGGCTTTTAGGCTTAATTCAAAATATAGTGCATCCTAGTGCATTTGTATGTAAAGACATTTGTAACAAATAAATAGGCTAATAAATATAAACAATTGTAGTAATTGAGACCATTTCACATTAAACGGTTTGAAGCTGCCATTTGAGTGTGGTATACTCAAAACAAATAGTTAAACAGAAGTCTTTTTTTACTGTAATTTAACCATTTCTTGAATTTTCACAGATGTTATTCTGTATTGGCCTTTTGCATTTATGTTCTTCAGTATAATATGCAAGTCTGATTTCAGCAAATAGTTTATCACTGAAAAAAATCTAAAAATACAAATGTATGCCCTGATCTTAAAATATAGTATGGGTAATGTATATGTACACTCTGTTGAGCAGGGTAATATTTTTAGGGGATTTAAAAAAAACCTGGAATGTTCTGAGCCTAGATAGGGAAGGCCAAAGAAGAAAGGATTCAGGTAAAAACTGTCTATTGGGTTTAAAATAACTGAAGGATTTTGCATGGATCAGACAGGATTGGCTGGCTCAATTTACACTAAATCAGATTAGAATTTCTTGGTTGGCATGTTCTTTCTTGGCTTGTAACTTTTTTTCTGTAAAGAAATCCATCTTTCCAAAAAAGTGAAATAGCTGTTCAGGTTAATAATACCAGTCCTGAACAGAAACATCCTCCTTAAATTTCACAAAAATCTGTGTGTGCAAATGCAAAAAAAAAAAAAAACCTGAACAAATACTAAGGTAAATATGGCTGCTTCTGTTATTATTATTATCATCATAATTATTACATTTATGAATACATATTCATATTTTTGCAAGGAACACAAGGCATTTCACAAGATTCTCCTCATGTCAATTTAATCCTCACAACAACAATCCTATGAGGTAGGTTAGGCTAGGAGTCCATGACTGGCTCAGTTGACCAGGTGAGCTTCAATGTTGAGTGGGAACTAGAACCTGGGTATCCGAAGCCCCAGTCCAACATTCTGACTACCACACCACACTTGTTTTCCTAGTTCAGCCATGGGCCCACTTGTGATTGCAGGGTTGCAGAACAATGCAGGGTTGGAAGGCAAACTGACCAAAATCAGCTACTCTCTTCTTTTGCCCATGGAAGCCTCTGATGTATCAAAGGAGGAATTGGAGAGGATGAGCTCTCAACAGGTGCTGCTTCTAGACAAGGGCTGGGAAACCTCTTAGTGCCAGTGACTAAGACTTAGGAAAGGCATATAAACTTTTTAGAAGGGAGGGAGGATGACACAGAACTCAGAAAATTACCAAGTTATTGGTTGTTGGAAGTAGGCCAAGTGGGGCCAAGGGAAAGGGCCAAAGCTGTCTGGGGAACTGCTGAAGTCAGATCTGGACTCCAGGAGGACTAAATTTGGCCCTTTGCCTGAAGTTCCCCGTTTCTGTCCTGAAGTTTCAAAGAATGGCATGAAGTTAATAGCTGTCCCAAAACATGCACCATGACCCAATACTTTGTCATTATTTGTTGCTATTAGAATGAAATAATCTAACCCTTTTCTGGAAACATTTAAACTACGTATAATTACTGTATATTGGTTCCAGACAGAGTCATATTTAGAGTAGACCCAATGTACTAAATGAGGTTATTCATGACAAAAAAGGGGGGTGGGAGAACGAACCCACCCCAAAATAGTTTAAGGAAGACTGAGCATGCATTCGTGCATTTTTTTAATGATCAATACATCTCATTCTTACTAATGTAAACTTTCCCAAAAGACCATTACAATGGATTAAAATTGATTAAAATGAGCATGTCTAATGAATATAGTTAATGGATACATTATTGGGTTTGATTTGTCCTGTTTTTGTCCTTCAAATGTAACAGTTGTCCTGAAACTAGTTTTTCATACTGCCAAAATAAATTAGTGGAAGTCTTCCTTCATGTATAGGTTTCTACATGGTTGTTAACTTAATAATTTCCAGCCCATTCTTTGAATTTATTTTGCATTTCTTCCAAATTTTTAAAGTTCATGATAGTCAACCAACATGGGAGAGTCTTAACCAAGAACAAGGGCTTGGATCAAACTACCACGATCCTAGATAATCACGACAGTTTTAGACTGCTATGCCTTTCTAGATCTTTAGTTTAGTTTAGTTTAGTTTGAGTAACAACTCTGTGATTTAATTTAGCCTGTTTTGAAATATTAAAGTTCAGTTTGTTTATTTATCAAGCTACTTCTGCTGGGAAGCCCAAATCTCCCATAAATCCAAACTTGCACTTCTGTTGATAAATTTATTATCCATAATTTGAATATCCTTGTATTTTTGTAGTTAGACATTCAAAAGTATACATCAGTTAAATTTTATAGATGATACAGATTGGCATATTGGCTACATATTAGCATCTGCAGATAGTGATTTTAACTTTTCCTACCCTCATCCCTTTGCACTAACAGGAACAGGTAATTGTTCTAAAGCCATAGCAAAGAGCAAAGGTGACTGGGCACAGACCTACCTCACCCCACAAAACAATAAAATGAGTCAGCTTCCATTGACAAGCACGTATTATGATAGCATAACAGATGTTTTGTTTGTTGACATTGCAGTCAGTATTTTTGTATCATGAGCTACTGCAATGAAGGGTGAGTCTCATTTTGCATTTGGTTTTCTTGCCTGTGAAGCTGCATTGCCCAGAATGCTTCCCCCTCCTCCTCACCTCGCCAGGGGTGTTAGTCTGGCCACAGTGTACATGGAGGGCACTATGCTAAGATGCACCTTCTGGCAGGCAGAGCAAAATTTTACTGCGTATTTCCTCTACTGGGCACATTAATAAAGTTGGGGTTCTGGGCCTTGTTGCCATTTCCTTAGTGAAGGCTAACACAGTTCTTGAGAATCATAACCTATGGAATAAAGGCTGATTTTTTAAAAAGATAGTTGTGATTTCAGCTGGAAATTTGATTTCATAATTTTATTTTGCCAGTGTAATTAGAGCATTCTTCAGTTGAACCAGCAGTACCACACACCCAACTGAAACTGGCAGTGCATTTTTCTGTAATAATTAGATGCTGCACCGAATTATTGTACTTTTCATACTCATCTTCAAGGTTGTTAGGTTCTCTTCTAACACCAGAATGTTTCCTAATTCACCTTGCATGCGTGTGTGTTCACACGCCTGCATGTGCGCATTTCATGAAGTTGGGACATGTTTTCTTTTCTTTGGCCAAGTAAAAGTAATTATTTATAGTCAGAGTCAAGCAGAAATTCCTCTTCACTGTTTGCTAAACATGCACACACAAGGGATTTTAGCCTTAAAAAAGAGAAAGAAATACAAGTATCCCTTTAAAAAACAGTTGCTTACATTTGCTAGCTCTTTTCTGTCTAGTTTGTTTACCATTCTTTATGCAAGTGTCTATGCAGCAAAAGGATTCTTGCTTGTGAGGAGAAAAAGCAAAATGTACTTCCTTTGTGCCAGAATATTGTAGCTATGAGCAATGTATATAATCGTTTTCTAGGTCTTTTACGTGGTATGAATGAAACAGGTTTCAGAGGGTTAAATTACAAACTTTATATTAGTGTTGCAACACATGTATCCTGTCTTTAAATGGATTTTTTTTTTAAAGTCATGCAAGATCAAGCAGTGCCAAATATGGTAAGAGTATCAAGCCACAGAATTCCTTACAATTGTGTCATTATGCCTTGAAAGAATCTCTTTGATACTGCAGCCCATGGAGTCTTACGTCCATGAAGCAAGTCTATTGTGCCATGTTAGGTATTGTCCTTAGCTTTCTTAAATTATAATACAGGTTTTCTATAAAATACCTGCAGCAGTGCTTTCAGCTGCAAATTCTAACAGTCCCCATGCATTGTGCTGCAGGATCCTACCCCAAAGGTTTGGATGATGTTAGTTAAGATCTGCACCATTTTGTTGACTCCTGGTAATTCTTCTATTCATCTTTTTAACTGGACACACAGCTCACTGAGTACCACCCACTAGATCATCTGGTTCGAAAATGCATGGAGCAAGGGGGGCTTGGATCGCCACCCTTAGCCTGGCAGGCAATGGCATGAACGACAAGAGGGTGCTTCCTGAAGCCACAATCTGACCCTGACATGCTCACAGTCAACTTCAGTAAAGTGGTTTCTCACACATCACATCTCAAGAGCTCCTTGGCTTCTCAGCTCTTTCATTTTGCAACACATGCTTTTACTATTTCAAGAACAACTCTGGAAGTCCTCACTGCTGTTGGGCTGGGAGGAAGAAAATGTTTGTTGTTTGGATGGATGTCCACTTTGTGAGGATTTGCACCCCCTAAAGTATGCTAAAAATCTGTTAAACCATACTAATACTAAATCATACTTTGGATTGGGTATAGTTTGGGAATAGGGTGTGCCTGAACGCCTGTGCAGCCAAGCCCTTGCTGCACAGAGAGTCAGGAGTTCAGGCACTCCCAGCTAGAGGGCAGACCCAGAAAAGAAACAACAGGAAAGAATGGCAATTTTTAGTTGCATCTTCCAGCTAAACTATCCCAGTGTCAATGAACCAGCAAGGCTGCTACTTTCTTATCGGCTTTGTGTGGCGGGTTTTTCTTTATTTATATTCCCCCCCCCCAACTACTCAGCAGCAATAATTGATGGCATAATAGAGTCTGAATCTAGGGGCTGGGCCCTACAGCAAACTCAGATACCATTTACTCAGGCAGTGCTAATATGAGTCATACGCTCAGAGGTTTTATTCACCTGCTCATTCTCCAGCATGACATATGCCTCTGATCACTTACATAGGAAAAACAGGTTGTTTTCCCTCCCCACTTTAAGCAAGTGGAAACAAATCAGACATAAAGGTGGCATCAAGCAGTAATCAACAGAAGACTGTTTCAGTCTTTTAGGACAATCTGCTGCTAAACTAAAGTCAAAAGGAACAACAAAGTTTTGCTACTCAGCTGCATGTGACCATACACATAGAGCAGAAGCACTCAGGGAGAGCAAGGTACCCCTTTCCCCATGCCATTTTCTTGACCTAAAATTCCTTCCCAGCTTGCTGGCAGAAATTGCCATGTTCATAGATGAGCCCTAGTTGAAAAAAGCTTATGAACCAATAAATCTCTTGGTCTGTAAGATGCCGGAAAACCTTTGCACTCTTGCTCTCTCTCTCTCTCCCTCGCTCTCGCTCTCGCTCTCGCCCTCTCTTGCTCTCTCGCTCTTTCTCTCTCTCTGTGTGTGTGTGTGTGTAAAAGTGTTGAATTGCAAGCACAGTATTTGGAATACTTCAGCAAAATAACTTCAGATGGAGATCCCCATATGAAATTGCTAAACTAGTCTCTATCTGTAAATTCTGAATCTGGGCAATTCAGACTTAACTGGGACTTTTCCACTGCAGGTGTTAAATTAGCACAGAATGGCTAGAGAGATGGTATTTATCACTAGTAGCTGCTGTTGTGAATGAGTCACTCTGTTCTTATCTTGGATTCTGCATTGAAATGTCACAGACCCACTGCTATCCCAGGCACTGAATGGCCTTTTGGCCCCATTGTTTACATTTCTCTCCTCACACCCCCATTGGTACCCTTGTGCATATCTGCCAACTGAGGTTGACAGTTTCATACTTCTAACAGAGTAAGCAGCTCATTCTTAGTCTTCGAGGTACCACAGGCCTCTTTCTTTGTGCTGTAGGAGAGGACTGGAATTTGGAGCTCATTAATATATGCTTTTACAAAATTTGCTTTACAAATGTGCGTCAGAGCCTGAAAGTTGTAGCTCATAAATTGTTTGTAGGTGTGGGTGTAGATGGTGGCCAGACTTACTGAGGCACTGCAGTCCTGAAGAATAAATGGGCCTGTAATACCTGTGTGCCAGCCTCTCGCAGCCCTGAAAATAACCCCCAAAGAGTGCAAAGGCTTGTTTCTAGAAAGGCTGATCAGAGGAGTATAAAGGAGAGAATTTCACTGGCCTGTCCCAATCCGAATGAGATCTTTGCCCATTTCAGAAGCTATTTCTAGAACTGTAACAGCCCCATTGTGCAAAAGGAATTCAGGGAGCACACTGGCACTGTAGGTTTCCTGCCAGGTGCATTTTTAAAGTAGCAGCTCACCCCCTTCAGGTGTGGCAGATCACAATCAGATGAGCATTTTCTTCCTATTGATGCACACATTTGAAAGATGGGGCTGTTTTGTGGCTGCGCATGAAGAGCATTCCTTATCAGTGCTGCTGCTTAGAGCCATTGATGCTTATGCACAAAATGGGAATAATTGCTTCCCAGGCTGGCTAGGTGGAAACAACTAGGCCTAACATAGGGCACTGTGTGCCTCAGTTTGACATGCAGTGTGACTGTGGAGTGCTTCTTTTCCAGGCTCAGCCAGTGAGTTAGTGATGGCTCTTCCATGATACTCCATTCCATCTCCTTCTCCCCAGTTTACTTCCTCCAGTGGTCAACCAGCATTCCTTAACCGCTAAATAGATGTGATCCTTAAAGATGGGCTGCTTGGGCCTTCCCTCTGCCATTGGATTCCTAACCTTTCCTTCCCATTTCAGCAGACAAGTAGAGCCCATGTTCTATGGTACTTTCTTGGAAGGAACAGCTCAGCAGAAGTTTTTCATGTAGAAGGCCCCAGGTTCAATTCCTGGCATGTTTAATTTTTTGAAAAAAGAAATGGATAATAGTTTACAGGCAAGACCCATGCCTGAATCCCCGGAAAGTCACCAGGACATGCGGTGAGCACCAGGTTGAGAAAAGCAGCTTTAAGATAAGGTTTCTCATAGGTGTTCAGTTTTACATGTGGATCACAGCACATTATGTGTTTGCTATTTAAATGGAAGTGTTTCAGTCAATTATTTGCTGAATATACTGCACACGAGGGCAAAAATTATGAGGGTATGTAGAAAATTCTTTTGCTTGTTTTCTATTATTATACCTTGACATAATAAATTCTACATGTTTACACAGCACAACAAACACACCAGATGAAGATGTTTCTGCTAGATATTCACGAGCAGACAGGACAAGCTATAACAGATACAGCAGGGATACAAATTCTTCTGGAAACATCATACCAAGTAATTTGGAAAAGAAAATTGAAGATCTTGAAAAGGTAAAAATCACTATGCAATAATGGGCCACTAGCTGGGGATTATGTGGAATTATAGTCTAAAATTTCTGAGGACATCAGGTTATCGGCACCTAATGATTGCATATTAAATATTTACAGTATTATGCAGGACCCCTCCAAACTACCAGTAGCAGTTTCTGTCTAAAACGTGCTGAAAACTTAGATAAGCTTCAGTAGTTTCATCTGGCTACTAAAACTCATCAGAGGAGCAGGGACTTCCATGAGTAAGGTAGCCCCACCTACAAGTAACTTGTGGTTGACAAGTTGAAAGAAAGTGGGGCTCCTGCCAGGCAATTTCATATAGAAGCAGGCAGTCCTTCAGGAACCATGTTCCAGACTGCTTAGGGATTTACTGATCTAATTATGTAATGCAGAAATCTAACCTGGAAGTTACTGAGGCATGCATGCCTAGGAGGAAGTCCCATTGAACTTACTACTGAGTAAATATTACTGCATTGTAGGTCTACTGTTTTTGTTGTTTTTAAATAAAGTATCATAAATTGTGTGCTTTGAAGGAGCTAGCAAAGGAGAGACAAGAAAACCTAAGGCTTGTGAGGATAATACAAGACAAAGAAGAGCTGGTTGGGAAAATGAAGGAAGAAATTGATTTATTAAACAGGGTGAGTATTCGTTCCTTGTCATGAAATGAAAACGTGAACTTACTCTACGAAATTTGACATTAGTCTTTAGTTGAAAGGCCAGTCTTAGCTAAAGTTGAAATAGGATGTGCTTGTATCCCAGAACAAGAAAGGTAGTGGGTGAATTGTTTCCAACTCTTCCCAAATTTCTAGAAAAGAAAACAGATTAAAAAGTATTGTCATCAGTCTCCATCGCAGTGAAATGTGTGTTTTGAATGATCAACAAAAATGAGGTGGTCAAGCAATTGGGACCAATTAATAGGTCTGTTAAGCTGTTAGACATGACACTGGAAATGCTGATAGAGGCTGCAATGAGATTTTCAGGACTACTGTGAGAAATGCAGGGCTTGGTTCTTCTAATCAGTTTGGAACCATCCCACTACATGAATGACACTTTCATTTTTGAATCCAGAATGTATGTCACACCCTTGTGATATACTTAACGATATACTTTGACTAACCAACATTAATTTCTAAGTTGGGTATGTAATTTTTGAAAAGGAATCTTAGTTTACTGGGAAGCACATTGTATATATGACTGGCTGCTTTGCTTCCTTTTGATTTCTTTGAGTATTTAAATTCCAGGCTGTTGTTGTGGTTGGACTATGTCCAAGTAGTTCATACTTTTAGTCATTTTTGGAATGTTATTTCTGCTACATAAACATTCCACAAAATCTTTATATATAATTTTTGGAGCAAATTTCAAGTTTCTGTCCATGTGCCTTAAAGTCATTGTCGAGTGCTTGTATCTGTGCCACTCATCTGGATATTGTATGCTTGGTAGAAGTTAGAAAGACAAAAGCAAAATCTAATTTTCCTTTAATGAAAAGCTGGTTGCTTTTCTTTTCATTCCTAATACGTATGACTTTGGGAAAGGATTTTGTGAGCATGGTGCATGCTTTAACCAAACATCAGATGTAGATAGTTGCAGACCATAATGTTCCATCCTGGCAAGAATGCTTTGTTTTTGAAATGGAAAAGTTTGTATTGTTTAAACAATCAAACAGTATTATGCTAGCAAGTCCTGTGTTGTTCAAGAGAAGGCAATGATTTCCTCAGATGAGAGTTCTACAGCCTGTTTTGATTAAGCCTTTTATCTGTCTCGTTCTTAAAACCACTGCTCCTAAATCCAAATGCAGGTAACTGGATAGCAGTGCACAAAGAAATGAATGATGCTCGCTTTCTTTGATGGCACATCATTTGTGACTTTAACCTTTCTACGAGCTATTACTTGAGTTTTTATGGGACAGTAAACTTTCTGATTCAGATATCCTGTCCCCTTTCCTCTTCTAAAATAATGGATATTATCCAGAAGCCATTGAATAGATGTAAGGGAGGAATGTGTGCAGCTGGGGGTTTTTTGTTTCTTTGTTTTTGTTTTGTTTTTCAGCACCACCACTGCTACAGCTCCCACAGCTGATGAGACAAGCAGTTTTCGAAGATGGAAAGGAGCCAGCCTCATCAGCTGTGGCAGACACAGTAGTGAAAACTTTTGCATGGTCAAACTTCTGTTGATTGTCTACATTCCCTTATTTCACAGCATTCCAGGCTTCTACAGATGAAAATAAGGACATACTTCTAACACCCCTACTTTCAGACCAAACCCCAAATCACCACGCTTTATGGCATATTGCTTGTGGCTCTGTTTTGCCTACTCTAGTCCTCTACATTGTTTTAAGAACTTAAGACAATGCTTGTTCTTTAAAGTCATACTTTAAACATTGAAATTGCCCTTCCATCTGTTATCAGCAATGCAACATGATCCTCTCCAGCATATGAAATGCAGGCAAATCTACTCTAGGGCACCTTTGTGTCCAGCTGTGATAGAGTATTAGAAACAGGGTTTAACCACCTTACCAGTCCCATTCAGGAGACTTTCTTCAGACTTTCACAACCTGTACCCACAGATCCTTAATTGCAGGTGGAGAGGGGCTATTGTGATAAGCATAAGGCGGCAAGATTGGGTTAGGGTTAGGATTGTGCGTTGGGTTGGGTTGGGTTAGGCATTCCACTGATGCTGTTAATTTTTTCCCTAGTTGCATGTAGTGGGGTTGTGGACAGATTCAGACTCTGATTATGCTGGGCAGTAAAAGCAGAGACCTCCCTCCCACCTTGTACCAAGTTTCTGATAAAGCTCACTTTCCTACCCCACCCTGTCCCAACACATGCCTGTAGCTGACCAAAGCAAAGCCACTGTTGTGCACTCTTGTTCGTCTTTGTGGTCTCTGTGCATCACACTTATGGCTTTTACACCTGTACAAGGCCTAGACAGGGAAAATTTCAATAACTGAGCATGTCAGATTGGGCAGGAGCCCTTCCCCTTCAGGTTTCTGGAAGTATAGAGGAGGGGTTTCCGCCCACTCCCTCAGTTCCTTTTTGGCTGCCAGCACAATAGACTGGGAATCTCTGCACTCTCCACTTCTACCATTAGGTACTTACTTGGTTCTCACCTCTTGACCTCTCTTCTCTCTCTGTTTCCATCTCACTATTAGACAATCCATTTCACTCTTTTTCTAATACAGACACACGTGCACATAAACATTTTCCCCAACCATCTTTCCTATCATACTTTCCGAGTTCCCTGCCACCTGCCCTTTCTTCTCCCACTTCCTGCCACTCACCCACCCATGCAATGGTGTTGATGACCTTTCGTAGCTGTGCCTCCTGGGAGGCCAGACTACCACCCACTGATGGCCATTCTCTGTCTCCTGTGCTTCGGTAATGAGCACATTGTGGAGATCTGTGCTCATTTCCAGGCCTTCAAGAAACAAAGCCACTATCAGTGGGCCAATCAGCTTAAAGCTGAACTGTGGAAGGAGGCCCTTTAAGTGGCCAGCTCTTCCAAACTGGGACAGCATAGCCCTTCTACATCCAAAGGCCGCAGGAAGATGAAGGCTGCAAAATGGCCAAACAAAATGGCTGCCACACTGCAAAAGAAGTGCCACATGAGACCTAACTTCTCCAAGCACTGGGCTCCCAGAAACCACCATCCCATCAATACCAAGAAACCACCAACAGCAATACCCATCAAAAGACTGCCATAGGCCAAGATCATCCTCCCTACTGTCAGATGCTGGAGCTGGACCAAATTGGCACCTCTCCTTCACCCATCCCTCTGTTCCTGGACTCATGGCAGTCTCCATAGGAATTGAGGGACTGGGCAAAAATCCCTCCCCTGTACTGTACAGAAACCAGAAGGAGTGAGGCTACTGCCCAGTCCAGCATGCTCAGTTTTTCCTGGTCTAGGCCTTGCACAGGCGCACTAGCCCACATGTGTGAATGCACAGATGACCACTTGAAGAACAAGTTACAGATAAGCAGCCTGTCCTTCCCTGAGTGGCTTTCCCTTTTGTAGCTGCTACATGCATGGGGAGGAAAGTTTCCATTGGCCCTAATGTGAAGTGTTCTGCTGATGGCAGATGGCAACTGTGGAGGACACAGTTGAAATCATAGGGGGGCATCAGGTTAAAACACCTGCAGAATCTCAGTTCAGATTCCTATGTGCCTGTTGTTTACTATTTAAAATGAACGCACAATTGCCAGATGTGTGACTAGTGTCACTTTTTATATGGTACCATACTCTGAAATGGTTACAGACACAAAAGTTTGCTTATCTTTCAAGCTGAACATGTGACAAACAGCACACATCTCAAATCTGGGGGGGGCGGTTAGCCTTTTGATTCTGTAATGTAGCATTTTTTCTGGGTACATTAATACACAATAATTCAGATCTTCTCTTAAGAAAAAATGCATTAATTAATTAATCAATACATTTACACCTTGCTGTGGTTTTTCTCAAAGGACCTAGATGATATAGAAGATGAAAATGAGCAGTTAAAGCAAGAAAATAAGACACTCTTAAAAGTTGTTGGACAGCTGACAAGGTAGAAGATGGAAGCCTCAGTGAAGAACGATGGAAACTACTGATTGAATGTTTAAAGATCAAGGCTAGAATATTTCCTTTGTTGCAATATGTCAAAACAACTGTCTTTATATTTATTATTAAGGAGGGGGAAGAATGAATGTTTTATCCAATGCTCTTTCTTCCTTCAGTGAAGTAGAAGCAAGTTCTGTGAGTAGTTTTAAACTCATTTTCTTGCATTTTCCAAAATAATTAATTCAGATATTGACAACCTTCAAAATACCACATCCTTGCATTTTTAGTGTCTTTAGATTATCTCTATATTACCCAGTAACAGTTTTTTTAAACATACCTTTTCACCAAGTTTTCGCTTCAATGGAAATTATTCTTTTGGCTCCCCCAGCAATACAAGAGAGGAAGTAATAAGAGTAAACTTTGTTTACACAGATTTAAAATATATATTTTGGGAGATAATTGCTATTTGTTCAAACAGTTGTACTGCAGGTGCCTTACTACAGTACTGATGTGAAGCCTTTTACAGATGAGTTACTTATTTGACAAAGAATCTTGTATTTTGTGATTTTGTTTTATACTGTATCTGAAATACTGACTGTGGTAGATAGTTTTTTCCCCTGTATAGCTGCTCTTTGATGGAAAACTGTTTCATAAAACATCAATAAATCACCAGTCATTATCAACACTAGCAAAGTAGTTTTTAGGAATAGGCCTATTTTGTTTATTCTAGGTTAATCACTATGCTTGTCTGTCCACAGGAAAATTGGGTCCTTTGTACAAAGGGATATCCAGAGAGGGCAACTTTCCTTGGTTATGGCTTAGGCTCAGATGGAATGATTATAACTTACTGGACCAAGAGCAAATGGTCTTCCCAGTTTTACAGTCAGAGATTAAACCACTTAAAACTTGGGAAGTTTTAAATCTCAGAGTAACAGGAAGGTGAGAGTATAGGTGTCAAGCTTGTTCTTGATCTAATGAACCAGGATCTGTTGGACTAAAGTTGTTTTGTCTGAACAAAGCCTATGCGAATGGTAGCTTAGACTTTTCTGCCAAGATTTGTATCAAGCTAGCATCAGAATATAATAAATGATGGCACATTCCTTTTGCAACAATATGAACATTTGTATAAAGTGGACATATCAGGATCTTGCATGATTCATAAAGTTTTTTGAAGCTGTGATAAAATGTGTTAATGAATATAGTTTACAAAAGGGAAGGTCATGATTTTGGGGCCCTCTAAAAGTTTTATAGAGAACCATCTATTCTAGAATAACACTGATGTTTGTAAAAATAAAGTATGTTGCATGTTCTGTTACACACACATGTCAGTTGCCTGTGTCACTATTTTGTGTTATGACCAATGAAATACTCTTTATAAATTACCAAAAGAAGTAAAGTTTTTCCAAAACCCCAAGCCTTTTCTGATTTGAGGTGGGCTCTGGCATTCAAAGATACGATGTACAAATAAATACACTGCTTAGCATTGTATATTGCTGGCAGAGCAAATGTTCCTCTTTGTGCCACAGCACCTAAGACAAGATGCATAAACAGAATTTGGGGGAATTCCATTTCATGAGACATTAGTGCAGGGATGTGTCATGAGAACGTCTTGAAAAGTTGGGTTGCCATTGGATGCGTTCAATGCTGTATATAGGAGGGAAGACCTGTGGGAGATTAATCTCGCCACATCACCTCTGTCAATATATGGGCTCTGCCTTATCCTGAGAAGGGAAACAAGAATGCACTAGGATTCTGTGATGCAGCCTACTGCTGAGTGTATGCAGGGATCTCAGAACTGTCACCAGTACCCCCAGAGCACTGACTTAACCCTAAACCTAGGCTGACTGGTCAAAAGGAGGACAGGACCCCGAAAGCAGTATTTACTAGTCTTCAGCAGCCTGATGCTCTACAGATGTGTTGAGTTACAGTTCCCATCATCACCAGTATGGCCATTGGTGGTGCTCGAGGAGTGTGATGAGAGTTGTGGCTCAGCATATTTGAAATGCAGCACACTGGGGAAGGCTGAATCAGGCTAGCCTAAGTCCACAAAGACAGGCCTGCAGAACCGATTCCAACCTTTGACCACAAAAGAAGTGTTTCTTAATAAAAATTAAGTATATAATTATATGTAGATATTCCATTTTGAAATAGCATTATAATTGCATGGTAGAATAATGCTTCACTAAGGAGTGTATCAGCTGATTCTCTGGAAGGGTAGCTGATGCAGCAAACCTCCATGTGCTTATCTGGGCAGAAGCCCTGCTGAACTCAGCAGGGCCCTGTGAGTCTAGCACTTGGTGTGTTCGTGAGAGGGCTGCACTGAATCTGCAATTGCATGTTGCCTGGAGGAAAAAGAACAGGAAAAATGAATTGCCATCATGCACTGAAAAGAAAACTGGTCAGTCCTAGAGAAGATCAACCCTGACTGCTCTTTAGAAGGCCAGATACTGAAGATGAAACTCAAATACTTTGGCCACCTAATGAGAAGGAAGGACTCACTGGAGAAGTCCCTAATGCTGGGAACAATTGAAGGTAAAAGAAGAAGGGGACGGCAGAGAATGAGGTGGCTAGATGAAGCAGCCATTGAAGCAGTCGGCATGAGCTTAAGTGAACTCTGGGGGATGGTGGAGGAGAGTAAGGCCTGGAGGAATGTTGTCCATGGGTCACAATGGGTCGGACACGACGTCCCCACTAACAACAACTGAAAAGAAAGATCTTTACACTTGCCTTGTGAACCTGCAATATGATACAATAAGCGGCCTTCTCCAACCAAACTTACACTTTCCAGGTGTGTTGAACTACACCTTGCATCAAGTCCCAGCTGGCCTGCACCAGTAACCTTGCAGGTTGTGCAATCAGAGCTATAATCTAACTAGAGATATGGAGGAAAAAAGTGGAAAAATTCAGGGGAAAAAACATCCTACCCATTTCATAGAATAGAAGAGTTGGAAGGGGCCATGAAGGCCATCGAGTCCAAGCCCCTGCTGTTGCAGGACAGTACGTTATACCATCCCACTCAGATGACTGTTCAGGTTCTTTTTGAATGACTCCAGTGTGGGAGAGCCCACCACATCTCTAGGCAGTCGGTTCCACTGTTGTATTGCTCTGACTGTGAGGATGCTTTTCCTGATGTCCAGCCTGAATCTGGGTTGCCACAACTTGAATTACTTATTCTGTGTCCTACCCTCTGGCATTAGCAAGAGATCTTGGCCTTCCTCTTTGTGACAGCCTTTGAGGTACTTATAGAAGGATATCATGTCTCCCTTCAGTCTTCACTTCTCAAGGCTGAACATGCCTAATTCCCTCAGTCTCTCCTCATAGGGCAATGTTTCCAAACCCTGGATCGTTTTTGTCACCTTCCTAATTTACCTGCATCTTTCTTAAATTTTGGTGCCCAGAACTGGACACAGTATTCCAAGTGAGGTCTGACTGGTGAGGAGTATAGAGGAACTACTACTTCTCATGATTTGGAAGTAATACTTCTGTTAATGCATCCCAAAATAGCACTTGCTGTTTTGGCAGCTGCATGGCATTGTTGACTCATGTTTATCCTATTTTCCACAATTATTCCTTTTCTTGTTCAGTTCTGTTAAGCCATGTATTGCCCATCTTGTGTCAATGCCTTTGGTTTCTTTTTCCTAGGTGGAGGACTTGGCACTTTCAACCAATTTCATTCTGTTGGTTTGAGCCCAGTGTTCAATTTATCAAAATCTCCCTGGTTCTTCATTCTGACTTCTAGGGTGTTTGCTATTCTGCCCAGTTTTGTTTCATCTGCAAATATGATTATCTTTTCTTGTACTTCCTCATCCAAATCATTAATAAAGATCTTGAAGAGCACTGGGCCCAAGACTGAACCCTGTGGCACCCCACTAGTTACCTCTTCCAATTTGAGAAGATGCCATTGATGAGTGCTCTTTGTGTCCAATTTAGCAGCCAATTTTGGATCTACCTAATAGTTTTTCCATCTAGTCCAGTTTTTGCTAATTTGCTTATCAGAATGTTGTGTGGCACTATGTTGAAAACTTTGCTAAAGTCTAGGTGGATTATGCCCACAGTGTTCCCTTTGTCCATTTGGGAACTTACCCAGTCAAAAACTGAGATTAAATTAATCTGACAGGATTAATTTTTGATAAATCCATGCTGGCTTCTATTAATCACTGCATTTTCTTCAAGATGCTTGCAGGTGAATTTTTAAATAATTTGTTCCAGAATTTTTCCAGGGATTGATGTCAGACTAACTGGTCTATAGTTCCCAGGTTTATCTTTCCCCCCTTTTTGAAGATAGGGACAACATTAGCCCTTCTCCAGTCATCTGGCATTTCTCCTGTTTTCCAAGCTTTATTGAAAATGATAGCCAGTGGTTCTGATAGTTCCTCCGCTAGCTCTTTTATGATTCTGGGATTGAGTTCATTGGGCCCTGGAGATATGAAAGTGTTTATTCCACTTAGGTATTCCTTTACCATTTGTCTGTCAATCTTGGGCTGCCACCTCTCACTCCCAGTTTGAACTTCCTCTTGATTGCAGATTTCCTTGTGGGAGAAGACTGAAGCAAAGTAGGAAATGAGCGCCTCTGCCTTTTCCTTGTCATCTGTTATGATTCTATGAAAATTGAATCTGGGACCTTATGTATACACATATCTGTTAGGATTGGCATTAATTACACGTAGGCATTATCACTTAAGTAACTTACTGATAGCAAAAATTGGTGAGCTGTTAGAAGAACAATGCTAATGTGATAAACCATTCCATGTTCATAATTGTCAAACTTCTTACTGTGGGGATTCTTTGAATTTGGAATAATTGTGGTGATTAGCAGAGTATTGGTATCATCTAAACGTCACCACAATTTTAAATTGTATGGAGGATTGTGTGTTTCTTAGCTTATATTATTTTGGGTACTTTTCCCAAGTTAGTTTCTCATACAAATGAGCACACATTCTGGAAATATTTCTGAATGGGAAAGACCTAATATTTTCTACAGAAATGGCAAGATCAGTCATTTGGCTAACCTCAATAAAAACAAGTATTATGCATACTGATGCATTATTTTCATAGTTAATGTGTGTTGAATATCTTACTTATTGTTTCTATTTATACCATATATTTATCCTCCGGTAGTTCCTTGACAATCAAATAGTGCTGTTTTAAGAGGTAAGAACTATGGATAAAATCTATCAGATAAAATTTACTCAGAGTAAATTCATTGAGATATCTAACTTCCATCTCATTCATTTTAATGAATCTACTCTAAGTAAGGCTTATATTGCATTTTATTCTGAATTCAAAAGGATGAGGTACATCATGCTTTTAAAACAGTTTAGAACTTGGAGGTATACATGAGAGGATTGGGGGTTAACTTCTTCAAGATGTAAAAATAACCATGAATGCATAGTGCATTATTTCAATAAACAAAATTGCAATTTGACATTAGATATAAAATAATTAATTAGCTGATGTGCAAATAGCCTAGATCCAAATGTATGCAGTTGAGCACTGGAAATATTTTCCACTACATATGGTAAAATTTCAACAAAAGAAAAAATGAAATGTGAATATAGCTGTTTTCATATATACATATGAAATGTATGTATGTATGAAAACAGCTTGCTAAAAATTATAAGCATTAACAAAAGCAGACCAAATAGCCAAATAAGTATTCATTTGCATATGGCATCTAAACACCACCTGTTCAAAGGATTGTAAGGTCTTCAATCCATTGTATTACAGGAGGCGGCTGCTTATCCTTCCAGTACTGACATAGCAGGCTTTTAGTTGTCAGAAGGCTGTAGAGAATCCATATGCAGTGAGCGTGCATTAACCTACAGGAAGAAGGTGGATAATTTTGAAAAGCATATACATCAATAAATATTAAGGAGTGCCCCATTTACAATACTTGATATTGCCAACATAAATGTTAAACAGAAACATTAACTGTGTTATGCCTTCAGCAATTGGCTGACTTAATTAAAGAGATATGACAGCATCCAATTATCTTGAAACAAACATTTTGCTGAATAAAGCACAACCTGAGAGCCATAGACAAAGTGGGGGTTCATTGATTGGAAAAATGGGTCAGTCTATTCCTATATTTGTTCATCAATAATAGGTTTTCCAGCCATATGCTTAGAAGATGGTGTTTTCTCTCGCCATTCTTTCAGAAATGGAGGGGCTTTGTTGTGGAAGCAGAAGTGTTTGTGCTCCTGATGTCTTGCTGATTTGCAAAGAGAGAAATATAGTCCACTTCTCCAACCTCTTTTACTGAGGAAGGCAGTGTTCTAAAAACATGCAGTCTTATATGGTGAAGGGAAAAAATAGTCCGTT